GGTTCCTTTGGCCACAGGCACCCTTCACAATTCTGATGGCCACAAACACCCTTCACAATCCAGAGCCCCCAATTCAGTGCTTTGAGGGGGTTGCTTCCAAATCGGGGCTGTGATGATCCCTATGGCTCTAATTTTCCAACCCAACAGCCCCCTGAATGGAGTTTGGATTCATTCCTTCCTACGGCGTATAAGGATTACGGACTATAAGGCTCGGTAAGGATTACGGACTACTGCGGATTAAGGATTGTTCGGATTACATGCATTTTTCGGATTAGTGGGGTTTCGGATTAGTTTTGTAGGCGCGCTCATTTTGATGAACCCAATTTGACCCGTGTTGCTTGCGATCCCTCGAAGAACGACTTCCTGACTCAGGTTTTGTTTTTTTGACCCATTTTGTTTTTTTTCTCGGTCCTCAACGTTTATGACTTATGATTCTGTTTCATTTTTCTTTTTCCGATCCCTCACTCTGAAGACTCGCTAACAAACCCTTCGGCGTCGAACCCACGTTCCGAGGCGTTGCACTCGCCCTTGATGGAGCGATGCTTCGTGGGATCTTTGGGCTATAGTGGCTTGGTGGACACCTCGGTACTTCCTGGGATTGTGAAACTTGAGCAGCCCCCCCAATAAATTGGAGAACAACCACAAAAGGTGCGTGTTTGAGTGAACTTGAGTTGGCCCAGATGGACAAAGAAGAGGCACGTGGTTCAGTCACGTGGCTTTGTTGTTTTGCTGTGTTGAACTCTGCTGCCTTAGAATGAGTACAAACTGCAGAACGTAGGGGTTACCGTCACCCGTTCAAAATCCCAAGGAACATCTTGCTTTGAGTGCTGATCTTTTTCCAACATTTCAGGATGCAGTGGAGGAAAGAAAGCGTTTTTGGGGATCCCCGAGGCAAATGCTGCCGCTTGGCTGAGAGTGCCTGGATGAAGGAGGCACGACTGGGGAAGTTCTCAAAATTGATGTGCTTTTGGTGGAAACATGAGGAAACAGGTGTTGGCAGAAGGCGCGTGGTCGTAGACAAGGCACATGGGAACTCTTTGTAGATGGTTTTGGATGTTACATAGGGTAATATAGTGGTTTCTTCAGTTTGGAAACTACTTGGCTGCGCAGTTCGATATTTTTGGGAATCTACAGGTCTGGGTCGAACTTCCCTTCCACTTGGGTGCCTAAAATCAGGCTGGAACGAATCCAGATGCTGAATAGAATCCACATGTGTACTGTTGGGTCTTGGATGGTCTTGGTATGTTTTCCTCAAAAGGGTCAGGGTAGCTTTGAACATTTGTGGAACTCCCAGAGTCAGACGCTCAGCAGGTCTCGTTGGGGGTCGTCATCAGGTGCTTCAGCCCATGTGTTGGGAGCAGCGAGATGCCAACTTCGAGCCACTTGAAATCAGAACGAGCGAGACCTTCGATCCGATGTGTACTTTGGGGCCAAAATGGCTACGGTGAAGTCATCAGGTGAAGTCATTTTGTCTTTCCTTTTTAAAGACTTGCCCACCTGGTCTTCCTGGACTCGGCGACCCTGTTCTACGGTGTTTCTTCCCCTTGCGACGCGGCTTCGCGCACTTCCAAGCCGCCCAGCCGCCAAGGAACTGTTGTTATTTTCACTACGGGCCCAAGATTCGTGGGCTACCCTATCAGCTGGAGGAGGCCTGGGACGGCAGGCCAAAATGCTCGTGGACTGGCAGTGAAGAGCCACCCAGGTAGATTCAGGGGATCTCTGCATTGGCTCGAAGCACTGAGCGAGCTCATCTCAGAATGTTCATGAGCAAATTATCTTCCAATAATTGGATCCCCCCACACACAACTTGCAGAAGGGTTGCCATATCTTTCATTTATGGGGTCCCTTCTGTGCCGACTTGACCCAGGCATACCTGGTTCAAAGCACCATGCGAGTTCTTTGGGGTGGATATGGAAAGGCCCACGAAAAAACAAGGCGACCTGTCGAGTGTCCCAACATGAACACAAAACATGTTCAGAATCTGAACGCAGCGCAGCCTTTGAAACGCCTACAGGGCGAGACCGCTGCTTCGCGCCCCTTCGATCGCGCCGGGCCCGACGGCTCAGGCAGAGGAGGCCGAGTTTGAGCTGCCGAAGGTCGGACGGATGAGACTGAGGCCGTGGCGGATGGGTGGTACGTTTGCGGTGTCTTTGGAGTCCGAATGGCCAGACTGCAAGTTGATCAGCGAGCGATGATAGGTTGAAGGTTGCGTCATCAAAGATGAGCAGGGATCAATTTTTGGAGAATTTGTATGTAGATAGACAAAGCTGGGTGCACATTCCGGCTGTTTTCTTTTCAACATGGACACCAATGGACAATTTATCGGTTGTACATGACGATTATATACAAGTCAGTTCTTCCACAGTTTGGCAGATTTGCACTTCAAATCCCAGATAATCCTAGTTTCTCCCTCACGGCACCAAGATCATCTAGGGTTTGAGGTGATGCCTCGGATTTTGGGGAAAGCCAGCAAATGCCCATCCAGGAGCATCCAGTCCCCTCAACCCGTTTTTGTTCCAGGCAACACCCGCAGCTGAACTTGGAGTTCTGGCCGGCGGGGTGGATCTTTGCGCGCTTGGTCTCCGGGATCCCCGAGGCGACTGGAGCACTGCGGAGCGGAGCACCGTGGGAGGAACGGGTTTGAAGGAAGGCCTGTGAGGAGAAGTGGTTCGCCTGAAGAACAATGCGACGAAGTCGAAGTTGGAGCGGCTTTGCAGATCTTTCCCATGTACCATGTTGGCAGTTTCAGGGGCTGATAGAAAAAGACTTTGCTTGAATTGGAGCATCCAAGACTCAGGCTTCACTGATCTACATGTGGTTTGTTCATACTCGGCCCATCTCTGGAGCTCCCGATTGATAGTGTGGCCATACGGATGGAAGTGACCGAACAGACTGAGGTTTTTTCGCCTCTTCCATCCGTCCAAAACGACCGGAACCGAGTCGACCGGAACCGGAACCGAGAGAGGCTCAACGGTCCCCACGGGTCGACGAAGGCCAGTCGACCTCGGTTCCGGTGCGGCGCGGTCTCGATGAGAGGCTCAACGGTTGGCAGATGCCTTTGGCTGGTCAGAAGCTGCGGAAGCCTTGAGCCGCTTGCCCCACCGAGCCTTGATGAAAAGAGCGGGTGTGGCAGGTGTGGCAGTATGAGTGAATCGTGGACCAGATGGAGGTTTTGTTGGAGATGGAGGGTGGTTTCATGATGAAATCATCACTGCACCGTGCTTCATCGTGCTTCTACAGAATGTAAATCCAGATGAATACCCACAGGCCAGGCCGATTCACATTGAGTGAGACCTAGGTTGACATCCCTGTCAGAACCAGGGTCCCAGGGCTCGATGCCGAGGCTGTATTACTGGATTACTTGTCCGGGTCAAAACCAACCAAGAACTAGTCTAACTAGTCCTTCATCAACGGATGTTTTCAGTCACGATTTTCTGTCCATGTCACCCCCTCGCCGCTCAGCCGGAGCTCCGAGGCCGTCCACTGCGGATGCTGGACGTCTCTTGTGGCTTCGGGCTGAGCACCATCGCTGCGGCGGCCAAGGGCCACAACGTGCGCCTTGGGCGAAGGGCAGTGGGAGAGCGGGAAGGGTCTGGAATGTGGGACACTTGGCTTTAGAGGGCTAAAGAAAGTGGTTGATGATACAGTTCGATTGTGATCGATGTACAGTTTGAGGGACTTTTTGTAACGGACTCTGAGCGCAGGAGATGAAGATGAATACTAACAATGTTTTTGTTGGGCTTTGTAGGGGAATCTATGGGAATTCATTAAAATTAATATCTGTATCCGCCCCTTTTCAACATAAACGCTCGAAATCCCTGCACTGGCAAAAAGTGCACCCCAACTCTGCTGTTCGGAACATCGACATCCTCCGCCAGAGTTAGCAGTTCACCTAAAAAGGAGGACGATCTCCCCACTGTTGATTTTTGCTGACACTTGGGGTCCTCACAGTGGTGTTTTATCCGCCGCAAGGGCTGAAGCGGAAGCGCTACGTTCATTTCTGTTTTTCCACGATGGGCCTTCCGACAGGGCGTTCTGGGGCTGCCAGCGCTGCCAGCAGCTTGAGCATTGTGGAGTATACCAAGGCCATTGCTGCCTGCAAGAGTGGTCAGCAGTGGCAGCGCGCGATTAAATTGCTGAGTGAAGCCGAAAGTAGACATTTGACTCCCAATGTCATCACCTTTAATGCAACTATCAGTGTTTGTCAAAAGGCCGCAGAGTGGGAGAAAGCCTTGGCGTTGCTTGAGGAAGTTGCATCAAGAGAACTGGAGTCCGACATTGTCACTTACAATGCTGTAATCAGTACATGTGGAAAAGCCTCAGAGTGGCAGCAGGCCTTGCGTGTCTTCTGTGGACTCCAGCTGAAGCTTTTGAGACCTGATACGATCAGCTGCAATGCGGCTTTGAGTGCCTGTGAGAAAGCAGGTCAATGGCAGCAAGCCCTAGCGATTTTTGAGCATTTTCAACACATCCATGTTGAGACAGACATCGTAACATACAATTCGGCCATCTCTGCATGTGGCAACGCCGGGCAGTGGGAGTTGGCTTTGGCTTTGTTGGCCACGATGCAAATTGTTGAAGAAGACCCTTTGGCAAGCGACTTGCGGCCAGATGTTGTAAGCTATTCCGCTGCTGCCACTGCATGTGAACGAGCCGTCCAGTGGGAACGCGCCTTGCTTTTGTTGAAAGAAGCTGGTCGACAGACGCTCTGCGACAAGATGACTGTCAGCGCTGTCATCAGTGCTTGTGAGAAAGCGACCAAATGGCAAGAGGCCTTGAGCCTTCTGGCTTTGATGGAGATCGACTGCTCTGTGCAACCTGACGTGGTGATGTACAGTGCTGCAGCGAGCGCATGCGAAAAGTCCGGAGCATGGCAGCACGCGTTTTTGTTGCTCGCTTCTGCAGAATCTGCAGCTGAAACCAATAGCTATACATACAGCGCTGCTATCAGTGCGTGTGGGAAAGCAGCCGAATGGCAGCAAGCTTTGCTCCTTTTCGAAGAAGCTGGGGACAGAGGCTTGGCCAGCGTGGTCACCTACAGTGCAGCGGTGACGGCGTGCTCTCTTGCCGAAGCATGGCAGGAAGCGTTGATGGTCTTCGACATGGCTGAAAAGCAAGAGGAATGCAACGTTATAACGTACAATGCAGGCATCAGCGCCTGTGAAAGAGGAGCCCAGTGGCAGCTGGCTCTAGTCTTGCTGGATCGTCTCAACATGAAGCGCCTACAGCCCACTTTACCTAGCTTGAATGCTGCAACCAGCGCATGTGAGAAATCTGGGGAGTGGCAAGCAGCCATGTCTTTGCTGAGCCAAATGTGCGGATGGCATCTTCAGGCCGATCTCATCACATTCAATGCAGTACTGAGCGCTTGCAGCAGGGAAGTCCAATGGCAGTGTGCCCTTCGTCTACTGGATGCCATGGGCTCCATGCACTTGGGACCTGACGTTTTCTCCTACAAGGCGGCCTTCACGGCGGTGGCATCGCCGCACGTCTTTGATCTACAGCAGGCGATCCCGCTCTTGAGCCGGATTGAGGCGGTGGCCATGAATCCGTGGAACAAGGGATGGGAGCGGGTTGGAACATCCTAATGACAGGGGCTCTGAGAGAGGAATTTATTGTAAGGGCGGGCTATTTGGGATGTCATGGCACCTCTTTTGGGTCTTTTGAGTTGTCTCCTGAAGATCCCATTGTGAACATTTGTTGCAGGGTTGAGGAGATGAACCTAGCAAAGCTGCAGCTACAAACCCATCAGATTTTGGAAGAAGCATGTCGAAATCAACTGAAGTCATCGATGTTCCGGTTGGGGAGGGAGTTTCATGCCGCAATCTGCTTCCCAGCTGTACAGGGTTGAGCCCCGGAACCGAAGCCTCTTTGACACCGAGGACTGCGACCGAGGTGTCCTCGAAGCTCTTGAGGATCGCAGGTGGACCCTTTGGAGCCGGTTTGGTCGTTTGGAGCCGGTCTTCCCCTCCGGGTTTCGGAGGGTTTCATCCATTCATCCATTCCATCCGATTTCCAAGACAGATGCTTTCGAAGACAAACTGAGGTTAGTTTGGTAGTTTGGCCGAGTGGGTTGTTTGAGGGCGAAGTGAGGCCCTTCTTCGGGCTGGCCGACCAAGGCCGTGGTTTTTCCTGCTTGCCAGGCCGCAATGTCCTGTCCAATGGCCTGCGTGGCGTGCAGTTTCGACAGTGGGACGTGCTGAGCTTGGGCAAGCAGAGGTGATGTGTGGCGTTGTGCAGCCTGGGGGTACATCCCGAAGTCTACATCACCTGCAAATGAGCTCGGATTGTCGGTGATAATAACAGACCAGCTAAGTAGTAACCAACCAGCCCAAGTAGTAGGTCAGTAATTCTTTTCACAGGGGATTTGCTCAACTTGTATCTACTTCAGATTGACTCCGTTGGCTGATTGGTGTTGGATGTGGACTGAAAGAGTGGATGCGAATCTCATGATCGACATCTTTTCCACCTTTACACCTTACTGAACACGGGGAGGGGTTGCCAGCTAGTCAACATGCAGATAGACACATTTCCTTTTCACTCTCAAAAAGCGGGTCTTGGTTCATTGTTCTTCCACAGTCAAATGATGGTCTTTGCAACTAATACAGTAATGTCTTATTTTCGATTGCGTGGTGTTGGGAGGTTAGCTCACAGGATGTGTGTGTCTTGTTGATGAAGGCAAGCCTTTCACATGGGGTGGTGAAGCAACCACTGGCCCCATCCATTTGCGTTGCAGGAGGGGAACTCCAAGTGATAAAGGAAGACAGTTCTTACCACAGCTATATAAATCACCAATTTGAAAGCGGCTGATTCTGAGGAAGGTGCCACATTGGCGGTCCGCGCAGAGATTTGATCTTTGTTTGCTGGACCTCACTCACTTCAACATCTTCTATCGCAACTGGGACGGAGTCGATGGAGTCAAGCTGGGTGTTCTCGATCACTGTGCTTTGACCGGTCTCCGGTCGGAGAGTGTTTGCAGTAATTACCTGAATAAGCCGGATACCGCTGGATACATGCTCCAGTTGTGTCAGTAGTTTAGAGACTTTCTGGTTCCTAGAACCTAACTAGAATCTAGAACCTGTTGGAGAAGGCCTTGCAACGAATGCCGTGAAACAGTTTTCTTTTTTGTAATTCTTTTTTGAACTTGGACTAAGATAGATGATAGATCCTTTTACTCATCCCATGTCTTCTGTGCGTTCGGTTCAGGTCAGAAGTCACTGGGTGAAGACGTCTCTGGTTTGTCGCCGCCTATCGGGCAGGTGTCTCTTGGCGGAAAATTGATGAGTTAAAGCGTTGACTGATGGAGGCCTTTCGACATTAGAGAAGGGTTGGTATGTACCTCCAGGGCTTGGCAGCCTCAATCGCGGAGGGTTTGGACCACGCCACTGCCATAAATGGATGAGTTCAGAGGCGTTTAGAAGAGTTGGTGTTGGTAAGAAGAGTTGATTGACGGTTGACTTGTACTCCACTTATAGTGGGAAAAACAATCATAGACTAGCATCTGCTACTGTTCTGGGGTCCTCTACGTTTAAGACATTCGATGCCGGTGTCGCTTCAAATTCGGGCCCCCGAACCTGTAGAAGAAGCATCGACCCACCTATATAAGATACAGTTTGTACCAAACCAATGCCTTTGTATGGGGCATGAGGACATTAGCAAGATCATGCAGGATACTCCGCATGGGGGAGTTCCCGAGTTCCTCAAAACTTCCAGTACATCAGATCAGATCCTTAGACGTGCTAACATCCTACGTAACCAGTCACTGACCTGCCGGGCCTTCCCATGCCCCATGCCCACTTGAGATTGCCCATCGTGGTGCGACACGTTCGACAGCTGGGCGGCTGCACACTGATGGCCTTTGCTGTCGTGGAGTCCAATGGAAGGACTGTCCCCAGATGGAGAGGGTAATCGCCCTCGACACCCGCCGCATGGTGAACTGGATCCCCACTTGGCCCACGCTCCCTGAAGTTGTTGACGCATGTTGGTGCCGGCGCCGTTGGAGCCTAAACATTGACAGGAGGTGTGTGGATTGTTTGGGGATCAACGAATTCTGGCCATGCCTTTCTTGACCCTGAGCAGTTTTGCACTGCTAAGAAGGCTACTGCAGTGGACTTCCGTCTCTCGGGAATATAAGTCAGATTGAATCTGAAACCCTAGCGAACACTCTTGAGTCTTCTGCTAGCAAGTGTCCAGCATCGTTGTTGAGTTGTTGAATCATTTTCATGCTGGTTCGATGGAACTAGCTTTCGGGAACTCGCACCCAAACTTCAACCTGTTTAGATGCCCGGACCTTGGAGGGTCTCACGTGCGGTTGTGCTTTGTCTCTCAAACTGTGCCCAAAGAACGCAGGCATTCGAACATAATTTGACTTTCTGTAACATCAGTTGAAACAAAGTGCGACAAGGCAGAACACGTTCTTGTCCTCACACTCCCCCTACCATTCTGAAAGCAATCAAGCCACTTGAAGCCTGTAAAGTGTTTAGCCGCCTTGACTGGTGGATCCTGGCAAGGAGAGTCATTGATGAGCGCCTGCCGGAAGAGATGGGTTATTCCAACTTCACGGTCCTTTGAGCAGAACCGACGTGTTTTTCAGCCATGGCTGGTGTTCGTTCATTTGATCCATTTTCTCAGCGAGTTTGCGGTTGACCAGTGGGGCCCAAGACAGCTAAGTGTTTCTCTCCTGGGCGAGCGAGCTCGAAAAGCAACCAAAAGCGCACATTGAATGGAGCTCCACACGGTGTGACACGGTGCGCTCCTTGGATGACCCGAACGGTCTGGGCTGTTAATAAGAGTGGAAAAGAGAGTTGCCGAGATACTGACGACCCGAACTTGGGAGGTATGAGCCGTTCGAGCCGCCCTCGCTGGGCCTGAAAATCGACGTCCCGTTTGTCTCAGCATAGCAAGCATTTCCAAAGACCGTCGGCAGCAGCATGGAAAGAACAGGTGTGGTCATTGTGAGACCCATCCACATCAAGCTCTGCTAATCAACTAGTTGATTGCTAGATGACCTGCACATGATATTTCAAGACTCAATTGTTGCCCCTTAAGTGTCTTTCAAAGAGGTCTCAAAAGCTTGTGGTCTATCCCTCTCGGATCTATACCTCCGCATAATCAACCCCCTGTGGTTGAACCCCCCTAGCGCCTTGACAGCGCCTTGTCGCTTCTTTGTGAGGCGGCATTACTTGCAGCCTTGGAGCGATTGCCTGAAGAAAGTGGCCACATTGACCGTCGTCGCCCGATGGTGAGCCCGTGGCATGGTCTGCAAGGTGTTGCACAATTCTGATCGACACATGTTCACCTACTCAGAACTCAGCACCTACTCAAGTCTTTTTCTTTTTTCCGGTGCAACATGGTTTACAAATTGGTCTGATATATTTTTCTTGCAAGTTCTTCAGCATATTATAGTTTGATGTCACTTTGGCTCTCGACCTTCATCATTCGAAGCCGGACCCTGGTTCCGGGGTCACAGGTTTCCCAGATTTGCAGCGTACAAATTTGGACCTGAAGTGGTTTTGGCCGTAAGACACCTGGCGGTCTTCGTCCTCCCGTGCAAAATACTGGTCGCCAAGTGGGAAGCGTTGTGTCTTGCGAAAGAACTCCGAGGCTAGGCTGGTTGGAGAGAGTGGGATGGACTCCACCCATCTTCTACCACCTCGTACTCTGGTAAAGCACCCTTCGCAAGCAGCCAGGCATCCGGTGTTTTTCAAACAATGATCGAAACAGGTCGCAGGAGAAGTCGTTGAAAATTGAGGTCTCGAAACTCATTTTTGATATGTAAAACATGTCAAGTGTCACATTGTTCTTTGGAGAAGATCGCCTCGATTGGATTGCTGCTCTTTTTTTGTCTCCACGAGCGGTGGTCGAGTGGCTCGGTAGAACCGGTGATGAAACGAGACGCATCTACAGAGACCTTGACATGGCGGAGGTGGTGCATTTCTGTCGGGGCTGAAGTGGTTGTACTCAAGACTGAGGGATGAAACATGTCAACTGATCCTGGCCAGCTGACATGTTACAATCAGTAGAAGCAACGCCAGAAAAATCACCGACAGCGCCACACATCACCATGGAACAATTCCTCGCACACTTCTTCGTAAAGAGAACGTGTCTCCTCTGCTCTCCTTTGCTCTCCTCTGCTCTGCTCAGCTCTGCTCTGCTCTCCTCTCCTCTCCTCTCCTCTCCACTGCAGGCCAAACAGCTCTCGGACTTCAAGCTGCTGCTGCCGGGGCTCCTTGACAGCCAAAGCTTTTCGCTGCTTGACTGGAGTGGAGTGGGGGCATTGCACGGGATCGGATTCAGGACGGGTGGGCCTGGTGGGTGTGGCGGTGGTGGACCTGGGGAGTTGGGTTGAGTATGAGTGAGTGTATGAGTTGGGGTTCTCCATGCTTGCAAAGAAACGTTCTTGGATGTTCAAAATATTTTCCACTCTTGTTGAATTGAAAATTGCCCAGCTTGATCGATAGCTATAGGTGGCGCCCAAGGCTACTGCGGCTAGTAGCCTCTTCCGCATTTTTTCAAGCAGTGCACCGAAGAGGCTTGGGAGTTGAAGGTGGAGCTGTCCTTCCGCCTCTGGCAGGGATGCCAGCGGAAGAGGCTCATCGACAGCCAGAGCTTTGCGCTGCTTGACCTGCATGACAAATACATGTGGCCTTGCTGGAGGTAAGGGCTTGACCCTGCTGAAAACAGCTTGGGTAGGTGTCTGGGTACGAGTGCTATGACGCCGGCGTACACAGGCCACCCGAATCCGGCTCGCTGGATGGCGTCTTCTCCGAGCGGACAAGGTGCCAGAAGGCCCTGGAAGGGCAAAGACCTCGGGAGGCAATTGAGTTAGAGATCGACCCCGAATAGCACACTCATTTCCAAAATACAGGACCATTGAAAACAAAAACAAGCCAATTACTTGACTTCGAGTGATCCCCACCATGACATTTCAAAACAACCGCGTTGACATCACCCTTGTTGTGTATTTCAGCCCATCGCACAAGTCCTTCAGCGCCAAGTCTTACTGTTTTGTCCGAAGCGAATGCTTTCATCAGGAGACCTGTGCCCCACTAATAATACAACTCAGATCATTTCACCTGGGAAACTTCCAGGGCCCGAGTAGTAGTAGTAGAGTAGTAGTAAGTAGTAATTAAGTAGCAAGTAGCAAGTAGTAAGTAGTATTACTATTAGTAGTAGTCGTCGTCGTCTTCGTCGTAGTGGTCGTAGTGGCTGTAGTGGTCGTAGTGGTCGTAGTCGTAGTAGTGGTCGTAGTCGTAGTCGTAGTCGTAGTCGTAGTCGTAGTCCGTAGTCCGTAGTTCGTAGTTCGTAGTTCGTAGTCGTAGTCGTAGTCGTAGTCGTAGTAGTAGTAGTAGTAGGAGTAGCAGTAGTAGTAGTAGTAGTAGTAGTCGTAGTCGTAGTCGTAGTAGTAGTCGTAGTAGTAGTAGTAGTAGTAGTAGTAACAGTAGTAGTAGTAGTAGTAGTAGTAGTAGTAGTCGTAGTCGTAGTCGTAGTCGTAGTCGTAGTCGTAGTCGTAGTAGTAGTAGTAGTAGTAGTAGTAGTAGTGGTAGTGGTAGTGGTAGTGGTAGTAGTAGCAGTAGTAGTAGTAGTAGCAGTAGTAGTAGTAGTAGTAGTAGTTAGTAGTGCACAATTCGGGGCCCGACCTTCGGGGCCCGAACCTTGGAAACGTCCGGGGCGCTTGTTGTAGTAGTAGTAGTAGTAGTAGTAGTAGTAGTAGTAGTAGTAGTCGTAGTCGTAGTCGTAGTCGTAGGCGTACTATAACGGTTTTTGAGCTTGTGGACTTATAACCCTAAGATATATCTAACTTATGAACCCCTAGGCCCCTAGACGTGATAAAGTGCAAATGAACTTATGGAACTTATAAGTTCCCCACGTTGCCCTGTTTTGTACTTCTAGAAAATCACCACATTTTTTTCCGGGGGGGTGGTCGTTTTTGATTTTTTGGTGGGCCCTGACACGACCCTGACACGGCCCTGACACGGCCCCGACACGGCCCCTGACACGGCCCTGACACGACCCTGACACGGCCCTGACACGGCCCTGACACGGCCCTGACACGGCCCTGACACGACCCTGACACGGCCTATTTTTATCCACACCATTTGAACCACGTAAAGGCCGACGGTGGAAAAGAAGCTGATTTTTGGTCGAGTCATCGCGCCGAACTTAGCAGAACTTGTAAACGCTCGTAAGTTAACTTGCTACGTTGCCCTATGTTGTGGTTATAAGTTCTTAAGTTCTGCTATCTAATCTACAAGTAGGCCCCAACTTATATATCAATTATCATAACTTCCCTATTTATAACCAGAAGATACGCATATTATAAACCTAGATACAGGAGTTGTAAGTGAGTTTATATGTCCACAAGCTCAAAAACCATTATAGTAGTAGTAGTAGTAGTAGTAGTAGTAGTAGTAGTAGTAGTAGTGGTAGTGGTAGTGGTAGTGGTAGTAGTGGTAGTATGTAGTAGTAGTAGTAGCAGTAGTAGTAGTAGTAGTAGTAGTAGTACTAGTGGTAGTAGTAGTAGTAGTAGTAGTAGTAGTAGTAGTAGTAGTTAGTAGTGCACAATTCGGGGCCCGACCTTCTCAGCCCGAACCTTGGAAACGTCCGGGGCGCTTGTAGTTAGTAGTAGTAGTAGTAGTAGTAGTAGTAGTAGTAGTAGTCGTGGTAGTAGTAGTAGTAGTAGTAGTAGTAGTAGTAGTTTAGTAGTAGTAGTTTAGTAGTAGTAGTAGTATAGTAGTATAGTAGTAGTAGTAGTAGTATAGTAGTATAGTAGTAGTAGTAGTATAGTAGTAGTATTAGTAGTCGTAGTAGTAGTAGTAGTAGTAGTAGTAAGTAGTAGTAGTAGTAGTAGTAGTAGTAGTAGTAGTAGTAGTGGTAGTAGTAGTAGTAGTAAGTAGTAAGTAGTAAGTAGTAAGTAGTAAGTAGTAAGTAG